ACACACACACACACACACACACACACACACACACACACACACCAACCCATAAGAGCTTGTTTCTAAAATGGTCGTGCACCTGCAGGAGAACGTTGCGTCTACTGGATCAGCATTGAATGCCTCCTTATGCAGAAGCAGTTCAAGTTTTCAAAAACTACTAGGATTGAATTTTTGTTTGTTTTAGGTATTAATAGAGTCTAACTTTTTCCACCCTAATATGTTATATGGGAAATTGCTTTTTCTTTGCAGGTATTTTTTTTTCAACAGATCTAGTTTGTATTGCTTGTTTTTGTTTTTAGTGTTCATCCATCCATTTTGAACACGGCTTATCCTGAAGAGGGTCACGGGGAGTTGTTGGAGACTATCCCAGCTGACTTTGGGCGGAAGGCAGACTACATCCTGAACTGGTCGCCAGTCAGTCTCAGGGCACATATAGAGACATACGACCACTCACACCCACATGCACACCGTCACCGAGTGGGAACCGATCCCACGTTGCCCGCACACAAGACCGGGAGTGGACCACTACAACATCAGCGATTTGTTGTCAGTGTTATTCTTGTAATTACTTTTTTGTTCATTTAAACTCAAGCATTTAATGTGGATACACATACAGTAAAGTCAATGAATGTTTGTCTTTTTTCTTCGACAACAACGTACCAAAACTCCTTTAGAAGTAGAAAAGTAGCAAAGTAGAAGGAAACATGAGCTTTTTTTCCCCCAGCATGAAGCCCTAAAGCCCGTTGGAGGACCCCTGCGATCCTCGCACGGGGTGATCCCTAATCACTACAAGGTGAAGGAGCAAAGATAAATTAAAAAGTACCAAATTCAACCGCTCAGCAGTGCTCCTTGAGCTCCATGTATCAAACATGGTGGCTTTGCTCTCTCTGGGGACCTTGTGAGTTGCACAGTAGTGGCTGACAAATCGGTTCAGCGCATTAACCCTCGTGTTGACACCGGGCCGAGTATACACTGTTGGGAGAGGGCGGGAGTGACTTATGGCTCAAGTTTTTGGGATGCAGTAAACGTGTACATTCAGCCATTACACAATTATACTCATATTTATTTATTTTTATGAATTTGGATGCAGGAAATGAGCTTCCATAATGCGCTGGTGTTATGGCAGCCATCGGAAAGAACGTCTGCAATAATGGTGCAGCGCTGCCACAACATCTGTACTGAGCCCTCATTTGGGTGTCACGGTTGAGAAAGAGACACAGACAATACAACCGTACACGCACGCATTCAGACACGGAAGCACATAAACGTCTGGCACGCTAGGAGGTGGGTTCTTGTCAAGGGAAAGCGTAACTGTGAAATGAAAACAGAAGCAGCACCTGTGGAGATGAGAGATGGAAGAACAAACTCGAGTCTGATCATTCTACCGCAACATGCATATCAAGTTCGAAATGCGGGGTTGGTGCTTTGTTCAAGGACACCTCTGGAATCCTTGGGAAGTGATCAGTCATGTCTCCAGCAATCATTCCAACATATTCTACATTTCTTGAATGCAAAAGTTCCCCAGCCTGACACCTTCCAGTATCCCAGGCCAACTTCTTACATACGAGCCACATAAGCAAAACCCACCATTGGTTGATCAAGGGTACCTCGGCAGTGCTCGGCAAAGTGGAGTCTCCAACTGGAATCTTCAACGTTCTAACAATGTCCTTGTGCTGCTCAAAAGTAATTCAGCAGCGCTCCCACAACCAGACCCAATTTTCTCTTTTTCCACAATGGGTCTTGAACCTGCAACCCTCTGGTCTTCAAGTCTTTCTGATGAGCTAGAGATATTTTTATGTCTTAGTTAGTCTATGGTAGGTCTTGAACCAACAACCTTCCCCTTGCCAAGTCCAAAGGGATGTACCACCAGCACAGCAGTTGGTTGGTTCAACGCAAATCAATATCTTTTCAGCAATGAGACAGATTTCCATTTTGGACCCGTGGTGGGTCTTGAACCAACGACCCCTGGTTCTCTCGCCAAGTCGATGGAGAATTATCCACCACTGCAGAGCATTAAGTTGCTTATGGGCACCTCAGCAGTGCTTTGGAAGCAAATGGAACTCTCGAGCTACCAGTCCCTGATTCCTTTTGGTCCCTAAACCAAGTGCTTACGGAAGAGCAAGTTTGACAATTTATGTGTGTGTGTGTGTGTGTGTGTGTGTGTGTGTGTGTGCGCGCGCGCGCGCGCACGTTAACTGCAGGGTTTATAACCCCATTAGTTCATTAACATTATAGGCCGTGTGAAACTTTAATGAAATCGGGTGAAATGAAAACAGACCCTTTACTACATTTACTCTCTCTGTAAAGTAGAAGTGCTTGTGGGGAAAGAATCCCAGTCTCTGTCGGAATCCCAAATCCTGAGCGAGGTCGAGGCCAAAAACAAAATTAAAACGACTGGCGGCTTGGATGGCGCCCACTCCCTTGCTTAACAATGTGTCGCGGGACAAAATTTATTAGATTCGATTAATATTCAAAGGCACACGCCGACAGTCCACGCTGAGGTGCTAAAGGCAAAAGCAGCCTTGAATAGAAAAATAAGTCGAAAGCAAGTTAGGTGTGACATGATGCCTAAGGTGTTTATAGCCAGCCATTAAAAAGTCTCGTGTTGGATGTCATTGCGTTCGGAGCACCTCATGTGTATATTTAAACAAGGCAATCCCCTCACTTATTAAATATCCATCCATCCATTTTCAACACCGCTTATCCTGAGTGGACCACTACAACATCAGCGATTTGTTGTCAGTGTTATTCTTGTAATTACTTTTTTGTTCATTTAAACTCAAGCATTTAATGTGGATACACATACAGTAAAGTCAATGAATGTTTGTCTTTTTTCTTCGACAACAACGTACCAAAACTCCTTTAGAAGTAGAAAAGTAGCAAAGTAGAAGGAAACATGAGCTTTTTTTCCCCCAGCATGAAGCCCTAAAGCCCGTTGGAGGACCCCTGCGATCCTCGCACGGGGTGATCCCTAATCACTACAAGGTGAAGGAGCAAAGATAAATTAAAAAGTACCAAATTCAACCGCTCAGCAGTGCTCCTTGAGCTCCATGTATCAAACATGGTGGCTTTGCTCTCTCTGGGGACCTTGTGAGTTGCACAGTAGTGGCTGACAAATCGGTTCAGCGCATTAACCCTCGTGTTGACACCGGGCCGAGTATACACTGTTGGGAGAGGGCGGGAGTGACTTATGGCTCAAGTTTTTGGGATGCAGTAAACGTGTACATTCAGCCATTACACAATTATACTCATATTTATTTATTTTTATGAATTTGGATGCAGGAAATGAGCTTCCATAATGCGCTGGTGTTATGGCAGGCCTTCGGAAGAACGCCTCCAACAAATTGACC